CATTGTAATATTCCGGAAATTTATAGTATGACCATTCGGGTTTAGCTATAATGTTGCAGATGTAAACTTCCGTGTTAAAAGGTATATAAAGGCTGAATCCCGGTACAGACAGTCCTTTCCAGTGCAAGCTGTGTGAAGTATAAGACCGCTAAGACGTGATAGAACATAACAGTGGTAAGTGAGACTACAAAATAAAGTCAGCTTACAGAAGAGGTTGTCCTTATGAGAAAGTAAGGTCAACAAGAATAGTTATAAAAAGGCTGTTGTGTTTCGAGTGGCAAGCCACTCAGAGGCTAACTAGCAAGGGAGGTTAGCCACCTGTAATTCGTCTAATTGACCTGTCTGGCGACCAGGCTGTTGTGCGCAGTGTGTCTGCCTGAATAAGGCTAGCAGTGTGCACAGCAGTTGAAGGGCTGTCACTTGTACTGACTGTGTCCTGAATAAGGCTGCAGTACAAGCGTCAGTCCGAGGTTGGCCAGTGAAAGGGATAGTCTACCCACTGTAATTAACACAATCATTTGTAACAAGTTGATTAATTATTTCATATTGTCGTGATTATTAACCTAGATAAGGTTAGGCCGTATTATTTGTATATATTTGCAGGCCTTTGTTGTCAATCATTTGCCAATCATTTATTAAGAAAAATTGTTATATCGAAGTCATCCCCAAAACCTTGAAATGACAAGGTACGACCCCCGATAGAAGCTAACATTCCGCTCGACACGTTACAAAATTTGGTGGCAGCGGTGGGATTTGGGGTGCTTGATTTTTTTTTTATTTGTTAAATTTCGTAGCTACCGATAACCATTGTTCTTGTTTGTTAGTATGGATAGCATGGATGACCTTACTAAAATTGAAAGAGAGCTAAGTAAGATTCAGGCTAGCTTAGATGAAGGTAAAGCAAAGAACGTCAGAGATTCAGGTTTACCTGAAAGTAGGCGGACAACCTTAGATGATGAATATTATGAGGCAATGGGTGCGAGACCTAAATCTGTTAGGACGACCACTCAACCTACTGATATATCTGAAAATAGACGGCCTGATACCAGCATTAGCGTAGATAGGTCAGATGACAAGGCTCCAGATAGGTTTTCCTTTACAAGCACACCATATGTTAGAAATAGGCAAGATGACCCTCTGTTTACAAATATTACCACACGCCGACCTAATGTAAGGACAAATATTGATCAGCACAAGGGTAATCATGTAAAGCCAGACAAGTTCGATGGCACTACCTCATGGCTAGACTTTAAATCTCATTTTGATGTATGTGCTGAGTTGAATGGTTGGTCGACCTCTGAGAAAGGCATGTACTTAGCTGTTTCCCTACGAGGTCGGGCACAGGCGGTGCTTGGCAGTCTTCCAGAAGGAGAAAAATGTAACTTCAGGTTATTATCCAGGTCACTGGAAGAGCGCTTTTTGCCACCTAACCAAACAGAGTTGTATAGGGCACAATTACGAGAGAGGAGACAGCGGGCTTCCGAAACATTGCCAGAACTTGGGCAGGACGTACGCAGGCTGGCCAACCTAGCGTATCCAACTGCCCCAATTGAGGTTAGAGAAACCCTTGCAAAAGAGCAATTTATCGATGCTCTGAAGGACAGCAACATGAGAATCCGCATCAAACAAGCCAGGCCAGTTGACCTGAATGATGCTATACGTCATGCCGTGGAGTTAGATGCATTTAACTCTGCTGAAAGACGTCTTCAAGAAGATAAGGGTTATTTGAGAGAGGCCAACCAGCCATTAGAGTCAGACAAAGACACCGTGACTACGCTGTTAAAGGTAGTACGCGACATGCAGGAGGAAATGAAATCAATCAAGATGGCAGTACAGAACTCAAAATCTACCAAGCGAACATCGTCAAACATAATTTGCAACTTTTGCAAGAAGAAGGGCCACATAAAGAGAGATTGTTACTCTTATCAAAACATGCAGAAAAAGTCAAGGCTGAGAGAGAAGGACAAGTCCACTTCTTTTCCCAGACAAGGAAAGGGAACAGACAAAGATGCAAACAGAACTGGTGTCAGTCGAAGGGCAGGGGAAGCCGGTATATTTGTTAATGCTACAATAAACGGCAGTAAAGTGAAGTTTCTAATCGACACTGGGGCAACCGTTAGCATCATTTCACCATCAACATTGCATTCTGTGATTGGTGATTCAAAGCCAATTCTCGACAAGGTCAACCAGGACGTTCTTACAGCAGATGGTACTGCAATGAATGTAGAAGGTTCTATTTTAATTTCTTTCTTATTGTCTACCTTGACAATCAACCAGAAATTTACAGTAATTGATGTTGGTATTGATGGTATATTAGGACTTGATTTTCTTACTTCTAACAATTGCTCACTTGATTTGCCAAATTCTTCTATGCTGATAGGTAGTAAGCGGGTAAAATTGTCATTTGAAGGAAAAATAGGTTGTTGTAGAGTAACCCTAGCTGCCAATATCACGATTCCTCCGTGTAGTGAAATTGTTGCTATGTGTGATGTTGTTGCACCTGTGTATGAGAAAGTGCCAAGCCTGGGTGTTATTGAACCGTCAGATCGTTTTATAGAATCAGATCGGGGTTTAGTAGCCAGAACATTGATCAGAGGTAGCAAAGTCACTCCTGTCAGACTTATGAATCTATCTACAGAAACAAAGAGTTTGTATAAAGGGACATTTGTTGCTACCCTGTCAGCTGTCGACACTGTGTATGAAAAGAGAAGTCACATTAAAAGGGTTGGAGAACTGCCTACTCATCTACAAGACTTGTATCAGCGGTCAGTCAAGGAGTTGACCACAGAGGATGCCAAGGCAGTCAGAAAATTGTTAACAAAATACTCACACCTATTTGCTGCGAGTGATGCTGACCTTGGACAAACAAAGATGACGGAACACACTATCGATACTGGTACGAGTACACCGATAAAACAGCACCCAAGACGATTACCCATACATATGCAGGAAGAGGCAGATCGTCATGTTGACGACATGCTAGAGAGAGGAATCATAGAAGAGTGCACCAGCCCCTGGTCGTCTCCAGTTGTGTTGGTCAAGAAAAAGGATGGAACGACTAGGTTCTGCATTGACTACAGGAAGCTAAACAACACAACTGTCAAAGACGCTTATCCTCTTCCGAGGATAGATGACTCCCTAGGTCAGTTATCGGGTGCAAAGTATTATTCCACTTTGGATTTAAATGCTGGGTATTGGCAAGTGGAAGTAGCAGAAAAAGATCGACCCAAGACTGCGTTTGCAACAAGAAAAGGGCTTTACAGTTTTAAAGTTATGCCTTTTGGGCTTTGTAACGCCCCAGCGACGTTTGAGCGTCTCATGGAACTTGTGCTAAGAGGTCTACAATGGCAGATATGCCTTGTATACCTTGACGACATCATTGTTGTTGGAAAAACAGTAAGTGATATGATTTCAAATCTTACCCAAGTGTTTGATCGATTGTTAGCTGCAGGACTAAAGCTCAAACCTCGCAAATGCACATTGTTTTCAACAGAAGCAGAATACTTGGGACACATTGTATCTGAAAGAGGGATTGCTACACACCCTGATAAAATTAAGGTAGTCCAGACTTGGCAAGTACCGTCAAATGTATCAGAGTTAAGATCGTTTTTAGGATTCTGCAGTTATTATAGGCGATTTGTCAAAAACTTTGCCAATATTGCCAAGCCACTGCATGATCTGACGAAGAAGGGTATTAATTTTGCATGGTCTGATGAATGCCAGGTATCATTTGACAATCTTCGAAAACAGCTATCAACAACTCCTGTCTTGGCTCATCCAGATTTTAATGAGAGATTCATCTTGGATACCGATGCCAGTCAATATGCAATCGGCGCGGTATTGTCACAGGTAAAAGATGGTCTTGAACGACCAATTGCCTTTGCCAGCAGAAGCCTTTCCAAATCCGAAAGAAAGTATTGTGTTACCCGAAAAGAGCTTCTGGCTGTTGTACACTTCATCAAGTATTTTAGACATTACTTGTGTGGCAGACTACTTTACAAAGTGGACGGAAGCCTTTGCATTGCCAAACATGGAGGCAGAAACCGTTGCTACAAAGATTGTCGAAGAAGTCGTATCAAGATTTGGAGTACCAGCTACGATACATTCTGATCAGGGTCCGCAGTATGAAAGCAATCTTTTCAAGGAAATGTGCAGACTGTTGGACATACAAAAAACCCACACCACTCCGTATCACCCACAGTCGGACGGAATGGTGGAGCGGTTCAACAGAACGTTAACCACAATGCTTAGTGGTTTTGTCAATGAGCACCACACTGATTGGGATGTCCATCTTCCTTTTGTAATGATGGCATATCGAAGCTCGGTGCATGAAACAACAGGAATGACACCAAATATGATGATGTTTGGACGAGAGGTGTCGACACCACTGGATTTGATGTATGAGATGCCCCCATCAATTAAAGAGGTGCCAAACAATAAATGGACTTGGTATTTACAAGAACGTCTAGAGAATGCTCATAAATTTGTGAGAACAAGAATGAATCAGGCAATGGTCAGGCAAAAACATTACCACGATCGAAAATTGAAATGGCATCATTTCGAAGCGGGTGAAGAGGTTTATGTTTTCTTCCCAAGAAGAAAGCCAGGCACATCACCAAAGTTTACAAGTTATTGGCGAGGTCCATTTAAGGTGGTTAAAAGAATGTCCGACTTGACATATCTTGTCAATTGCGGTCCGAGGGGATCAGATCAGGTTATCCATGTTGACAGAATGCGCAAAAAGCATGCACAAATTTTGTCAGGGGGGAATGACGAACCGTTGCCAACATGTGAAACTCCGGACGACTCTGGTCCTGTAAAGAGTGATACTGATTCATGCTTTAATGGAGAACTACCAGTGTCTCATCGCCCAAGTAGAGAGCGCAAACCTCCTAGTTGGGTGCATGATTATGAGACAGATTTGTAATTATCTCTCTAGTATGCATTTACAAATTGTATTAGGAAGCTTATCTAGTTTTTATATATGTATATTTTTAGTGATGGCTAAAACTAAGACAACACCAAGAAATGAATATCGGCGGTGTCCAATGTGTTCGGAACCTGCAAGAACAGAAGAAGAATTCAAGAAACACATTATGGTATGCGCCATGAGAGTTTTTGAGTGTCCAACCTGTGATTTTACCAACACTAGAGAACTCAATCTCAAGAGACACATCAAACGATGTCATCCTGGCTTAGGACCTAATGATGAACTTATCAAACTGGGCGCAAAAGAGCAAAGTAAGGAGAAGGCAGGTGGTTCGTTGAATGAAAAAAACAAAAATGAGGAAAGCGCAAATGAAGATTGGTTGGACCAGGACCCTGGTGAAGTTATAGGCGAGATATCCTCTGCAGACTCATCGAGTAGTAGTAGCTCAAGTGAGAAGAATGAAGAAGATGATATTGATGAGCAGAAGGAGAAACAGGATCCGGAGAAGAAAGAAGACAATCTGTTAGAAGGAAGACTTTTCCGTAAGAAGACCCAACCGACTTTGCCTTTTGCAAGAAAAAGACCAAGTTTGGAGGATATCCCTGTTCCAAAGAAGATTATTCTTATGGACAAAGCAACCCAGGTTGATATGGAACCAGCAGTTCCCCCTGTAGAGAGTAGTGGAGTCGACGTTTATACACAGACATCCCCAAAGAAAAGAGAAGTTGTGACCAGAACGACAAGAAAGTTTCGTGAAGGAGAGGCAGATATCAAAGTTGTTGCCAAAGAAAGAATAATTTATAACTGACATGTTCCAGTAACTTCAATGGAAATTATATTTAACACAGATAGTGTTCATCAGTTTTGTTTGTTATTTTTATTGCTGTTCTTGTTTTGTTGCTTATTTGGTCAACCATATTAATATAGTTTTGTCGGAAAAAAAAAAAATTTGTTGATCTATTGACTTCGCATGCGGGACGCATGTCATCGGAGGCGTGGGTAGTGTAATATTCCGGAAATTTATAGTATGACCATTCGGGTTTAGCTATAATGTTGCAGATGTAAACTTCCGTGTTAAAAGGTATATAAAGGCTGAATCCCGGTACAGACAGTCCTTTCCAGTGCAAGCTGTGTGAAGTATAAGACCGCTAAGACGTGATAGAACATAACAGTGGTAAGTGAGACTACAAAATAAAGTCAGCTTACAGAAGAGGTTGTCCTTATGAGAAAGTAAGGTCAACAAGAATAGTTATAAAAAGGCTGTTGTGTTTCGAGTGGCAAGCCACTCAGAGGCTAACTAGCAAGGGAGGTTAGCCACCTGTAATTCGTCTAATTGACCTGTCTGGCGACCAGGCTGTTGTGCGCAGTGTGTCTGCCTGAATAAGGCTAGCAGTGTGCACAGCAGTTGAAGGGCTGTCACTTGTACTGACTGTGTCCTGAATAAGGCTGCAGTACAAGCGTCAGTCCGAGGTTGGCCAGTGAAAGGGATAGTCTACCCACTGTAATTAACACAATCATTTGTAACAAGTTGATTAATTATTTCATATTGTCGTGATTATTAACCTAGATAAGGTTAGGCCGTATTATTTGTATATATTTGCAGGCTTTTGTTGTCAATCATTTGCCAATCATTTATTAAGAAAAATTGTTATATCGAAGTCATCCCCAAAACCTTGAAATGACAAGGTACGACCCCCGATAGAAGCTAACATTCCGCTCGACACGTTACAACATGACCCTTAATCAGTGCCATGTCTTTCACCTATTTCTACTTGCTAATAACAATAGATACTTCGATAGTAGGTTTGTTTTTATAGGGGATTAAAAACATCAGATTTTACAAAAATTGAAAATACAAAAACTTTTTTTTAAACGATATTTTTTTTTAAAATAAAGTTGATGATTTGAGAAACAATAAAATTAAGTTAAAATGATTTAAATAACTTTGCATTTTCTCAGTGGAAACTTTAAGCCTAACCAATTCTATCTAATTTTCCCACTCCTGAACGTCCTATTTAAAGAAAAATCTTTTTAAAATGAATGGAAATCCGAATTAGCAACTGGAGATGTCTATAAATACCTCAACTAACAAAAAACCTATAAGGCTCAATGAGTTCCACGTCTGTCAAGGTATCAAGAACCTTACTCCTGTCATTAAAAATCCAATGACGACACGAAGATTTGTCTTCTTTTTGTCTAAAAATGTCCAAAAATATTATGAGGACTGGTGTTACTTTTTGAATTTTATGAAAAAAAAATCTAAACTTAGGGTAGCTCATTCATTCATTCAATCTTTCAATTCCCCCATTTGGAGATTTGATAAACAAAACAACAGTTACAACATATCTAAATCAATGAAAATATATTTTAAAAAAGAAAAAAATGCGGCATGTACAATTTGCTTATAAACTCTATATGAAAAAATAAAAATATCTCATGTGTGTGTGTATCATACACATTATCGTGGTAAGTGGCTATCCTAAATACTACGAATGAAAAACATTTTAACATGAATTTCTTCTTGTCTAACACTTCTAAGAACAGATAGGTAGAAATTGTACTAGTTTAATGTGACAAAATCTATATAAACATCATTGTATTCATTTGTTAATTCAAAAATTCAGATCTTTCATTAAATGGTATAGAAGAAGTCGCTATGGCATGTTGAAAACTGTTTGTAAAAGGTTTCAAGCAGATATTGCACTGATATGTATCTCTTTTCGGTACAAGAGACCACAGATTTCCAATGTACTTAACAACTTACATTTCTTTTGTTGAAAGTGAATAAGTCCGAAGTGAAGCCAAATGTACAGTTGTATGAAGAAATTTGAAGTCATCGAAATCTGGATCGAAGTGAATTAAATCTTTCCATTAAGAATTGTAGAAGAATTAATCGCCTGATTTATAATGTTCTACCAAATATTCTTGGGTGGAAAACTGGTATTGCCAATGTATGTCTGAAGGAATCTTTCTAAAGAGTATTTCTGGATAATAAAAACAAGATCTGTAACAAAACCGAATTTCGATGTTTGGTTGTGGTTGAGATACTCGAACATTCGTATCGTAAAAACATGTTTCGGGAGGAGATTACTATCCATGCAGCAAAGCTTTCCAAAGAAATATAGTTTTCTTTTATCAATTTCAGCTTGTATTGGGTGTAATCCGAGCATACTTTCACAAATAGCCGATCTTGTTGATTTTAGGAAATTTTGTATGTCCTTTAACAAAAAAATGTTGAAACCCAATCAAAATGTTCCAGTCTTTTGTTTTCAAACTGTTCTATAACTCACAACCGAATAACGCTGAAGGTATTACGACTTTCTTATAAATATTAACTGAAGTTTTGGGTGGGGATTTTTCAGCATATTTGCTTTTTATTCCAAAGTAGGATTTCCTTTCTTTTTCGCAGGAACGGGTTGTGTTCGGTAAAGATTGAGAGTTGAAGGTTTGATGTCTGTTGTACGCCAAGATGGACGTAATTTGACGAAATTTGTATGACCTTGTCACCAACATGCCATGCGTAATTACTAAATACTTTTTTGTTATTATATATAAATATTACAATATTTGATTTTTCAGCAATAAAAGTAAAACGCCATTTACATGAGTACTCATAGGCAACTGTAAGTAACGTCTGAATACCTGCAGGTGTCAAACTTGACAAAGCTATGTCATCTGCCAAGGTTGGGTTTGAAATTTTAGCATTTAGAATACCCATATTTTTACTAGCATTATGAAATTCATTTAGCAGGTCATTTATAAAATCAGAGTACAAAAAACCTGATAACCCCCCCCCCCCCTTGTTCTAGACTAAAACCATTTTGACATGCATCCGTTAACAATAATAGCACTATGTGTATCTATATGACAATCATCTATGATAGACCATAATTTGCCATTAATCCCTAATTTATTCAACTTAACCATCAAACCTTTTCTCCGCACCGATTTGTTTTCTATATTGTAGTATAGTTTCTTGCAACACAATAGTACAACTTAAACTTTTTCGGTACTCTTGCAGTTGGGCATTCAGGAAATGATATATGAGTGTATTCGATCATGAATATTTTTTCAAAGACTTTGAACATTGTACACACCAGTGATACTGATCTATAACTATTAGGGTCTGTTTTTGGATTGTTGTTACCTTTATGTATAGGCACAATAGTACTTCCTTCTGACAATGACGGTACGTATTTAAGCTCTAAGATAACAGTAAATATATTGCAAATAACTTGTATTATTTCTTTTTACTATTTTTAATATCTTTTCTGTTTTTCAAGGACAAGATGGCTTCTAAGATTTCAGAACTCAATATGAAACCTCCTGGTGTGTTGTCATTGGAAATAAACGCTTTCATTTGTTCATATTCTTGTTGTGTAGTTCTACAAAAGATTTCATCAAACTGATTGTCATTACGCTGACGATAAATTTCTTGAAAATAGTTAGCAAAAACTTCTGCAACGCAATTCGGAGAATTTCATACGCTGCTTTTATGTCTAATTTCTGGATATGTCTTATCTTTTTTGATGTTTGTTGTTTAGGTAAGCGCCAAAATAATCTGACGTCACATCCTGCTGCATCTTCGATATCTTAACACCATCAATATACGTTTCATATGCCGATGTCGAAAGTATTTCTGAATTCACGCTTAGCTTTTTAGGTTACCTGAGTTTACTCAGGTGACCTTTTACTATCTCTTTTCGTCCGTCGTCGTACGTCGTCCGTCATGCGTCGTGTGTTTACATTTGAACATTTTCAACATCTTTTAAGCTGCTGAACTAAGCACATAGTTATGTTGAGGAAGAGTGCTCTTCCAAAATTGTGAATTTCATGGCCCCTGGGTCAGGGGCTCTGGAGTTAGGGAGGAGCTCTAATAACAATAGAGTGAAAATGCATTAATTCTTTGAAAATCTTCTTCTCTGCTCCTGGTATTAATGAAACAAACTAAATGCATAGTTGTGATGGGGAAGGATGCCTCTTCCAAAATTGTGAATTTCATGGCCCCTGGGTCAGGGGTTCTGGAGTTAGGGAGAAGCTCTAATGATTATATAGTGAAAATGCAAAAATTCTTTGAAAATCTTCTCCTCTGCTCCTAGGTATTAAGGAAACAAACTTAATGCATAATTACAATGAAGAAGAGTGCACTTCCAAAAATGTGAATTTCATGGCCCCTTGGTCAGGGGTTCTGTGAATGGGGGGGGGTATTTAATACATCCTGAAAATAAATTAATGTTTCATGGCCCCTGGGTCAGGGGTTCTGGTATTTGGACAGGGCTGTATTGAGTAAACAGCAGAAATGCATTTAACATAGGGATGTCACCAAATATTCGAGTACTCGACTATCGTTCGATCATACCGACTATCGACTAAGATTTGTTTAGTCGGTTATTCGTTAAAAAATTGCTACTTAATAGTTATCTTAAATTCAAGGTAAAAAATGGATCTGAGTTCATTTATTAGCGTATCAGTGTTCAGTGTTCTCCTGAGTAAAACTCAGAGAAAGGCTTAACCGGTCTTCGTTAATTGTTCAAAGGATTTTTATTGTTCGGCATACATGCATTGGCATACTTTAAAAGATGTCAGATCAAAAAAAGTTTCAACCTGAATTCCGTAAGATCTCATTTAATGCAACTAGCAATTAATGAAGAATAATTAAACAGCTGTTACAAATACATGTAAATTGGGGGACAGGGGTACTTGAAAGGTGTTTCTTTCTGATATTAATATCAACCATTTTAAAATTGTATCCATTGTTTGCAAAAAATCTCATAATTAAAATTTATCTCAAGCTCTGTTTGTTTTAAT